GCTACATGAAGACACCAGCTATGTCTGCTCTGGCACTGTTGTGCTCCCAGAGGTCAGAACCCACCTGGTACATAATGGACACCCATTACATATTTACTGTAGCAAATACATTAATATGTCTTGGAAGGTAGCATGGTCCAGGGGACAGAGTTTTCACTGACAGTCAGGAGGTGTAAATTCTGCGACGTTTTTTTCACTCCCTGTATGATTTGTGTGTAAGATGCTACATTAATTTTCCTCCTGGAGGAGGGTCACTCCCTGTTGGGATAGAATCTGGTCCTTAGTCAGGGATGCTTGGCTGAGAGCTGGACTCTGGAGGCAGCACTCAGCAGCTCATTTTGATTCACTCTCACATTTTCTACCTGTGACTCTTAACTACGAAGGGAACATGTGAATGCTGTGCATGCCCCTTGAAATATGAAAAAAAAAAAAAAGTATCTGAAGGCCCCTGAGTGAGATGACTGATTAGGCTAACTCTGAATTTCCAGTACACTAGAATTGAAATAATAGTCCCAGAGGTAAAATTATACAACAGGAATAATGTTGCAAGCTGATAACACCAACTTTCTGACCTAAGGATGGTCTCTTTTCCTTCTGGAAACCATATTTCCACCAATAACATTCAGAAAGCTGCTTATCTAGGCTGGAGTTCATGTGATTAGGTTAGAAATGGGCTATGCTGGCAGTGGCTATTTGTACTGATTTCTCCTTTTAAAAAAAATGCATTTAGAAAATGATTCAGTTCCTGTACAGCAAAATACATATCTATTTTTTTACAGTGCATTTTTAAAATGGCAAATCATAAACTACTGACCTTAAGAGAAATTCAATAAATCATTAAAAAGCTTTTGCTCACAAGCCCAGTTCTGACTAATTCCTCACACTTGGCATTATCAGATACATTAAGACTTTAGTCACCCTTACCAACCACCTAAATATTGCACACCCTGGCAGCCTTTTGCTAAATGTAAGCCTCTGAATCAGGATGATAGGATTTTCTTTTGGCATCAAATGTATTATTTATCTGTTTATTTTCTGGGATAGAGGGCGTGGAACCCAAATGCCTGGCTTCTCTGCAGCCCGTGTGCTGGAGCATGCACATTTGCAGAGAGGCACTCCAGTGTTCTTGCCTAGAGAATCCCATGGACAGAGGAGCCTGCCAGGCTACAGTCCATGGGGTTGCAAAGAGTCAGACATTACCGAGCAACTGAGCACCCCCATCTGGAGAATGGCTGGTGGGCCTCTGACACGGGGAAAGTGACTGTTTATACTCTAATTCTTTCTATCTGAAAAAATAATAGAAGGGTTGACAGAGCCAAGACTGCCGCTCTCAGACCAATATCATTTTGGGGTGGGATGTGAAGATAAATGCTTAAACAATGTTTTATTTTACTTTTTGGATGGTGGTGATTTTAAAACTTCAGTCACTTGAATTAGAAAATGAATTATCTTTCATTTTAGCAATTCAAATACTGCAGATATATGTAAGGTAACAAAAGTCTTGGGCTTCTCTGGTGGCTCAGTGGTAAAGAATCTGATTGCCAGTGCAGAAGATAGAAGTTTAATCCATGGTCTGGGAAGATCCCACATGCCACAAAGCAACTAAACCCGTATTCCACAACTCTGGAACCTGGGAGCTGCAGCTACTGAGCCCAGATGCCGCAAATCCTGAAGCACACATACCCTAGAGCCTGTGCTCTGCAACAAGAGAAGCCTCCACAATGAGAAGATCATGCATCGCAATGTAAGAGTAGCCTCTGTTCACCGCAACTAGAGAAAAGCTTGTGCAGCAACAAAGACCCAGTGCCATCAAAAATAAACAAATAAATAAAATAGAGTCACAGAAGAGTTTTTTAAAACGTCTTCTAAGTTGCCTCCTCTCCCACTCATATGCCATCATATACTCTTCTAAGTTTTATTGTGTTGTAATTATAGGCACATATATGGCATCTTTGTTTTCTTTCTATTTAAAAATATTTATATAAGAGGCTCATACTAAACATACTGTAACTTGCTTTATTTGTTTATTTAGCTACTTGTCTATCTATCTACTCATTAGCTTAATATGTCTTGGATTTCTGCAGTCATTCTCTTTTCTGAACTCTGTTATGGGACATCTGCTCTGTGCCGTGAATCTGGCTTTTGTGGGCCCTATTGTGTTCCATGTCCACTACTTCAGTTTGTGTTCTTCTGTTTTCTCTTTCCAGCTAGATTTAAAGACAAAGATGGCATCATCTTTCTCTCAGTGCTTACCACTTAGTAACTTATCATTTAGAGCTGTTTTTAACCAACTCTTAGGGCTGAATTTCAGTTTAATTTAAACAGGTTCCTTTTTGTAGGCACATGCTTTGGAGTCATGCGTTTTGTATTCTCTGGCCATGAACCAATGACCACACCTACATGCAGAGCTAAATATCTGTGCAACCAAAGTGAAGCAGATAATTATGCAGTTCCTCAGGTGATCCTGGCTACTGTATTGTATACTAAAGGAAGCAAATTCTTTCCTTTATTAAGATGCTTTAAAGTATGGGGATGAACCCTCTTGGAAGTGGAGTGAATTTTGTGGGTGAGCAAGAATTCTTTGTAAAGGCTTTCCAGGTAATTGTGAAAGTCACCTTCTCTATTTGAAGATTATTGTCACAGAAAGTGATTATGAAGCCGGGCACTGTGCTGGTGGTTAGGAAGGCAGTCATGAGTAAGAAACACATAAGGTATCTATCCTCATCTGGCTTATAGTCTGTATGAGTTTCCTAGAGTTGCTGTAACAAAGTACCACAAACGGTAGCTTAAAACAACAGATGTCTGTTTATTTTTTAAAATTAAGGCAGAATATGATAGAGTTACAATATTATATTAATTTCAGGTGTATGACATGGTAATTCAATATTTTTATAGATTTTGTTCCATGCAAAATTATTATAAAATATTGGCTGTATTTCCTGTGCTATACATTACATCACTGTAACTTACTTATTTTAAAGCTAGTAGTTTGTACCTCTTAATATTCTTCACGTATTTTGGCCTTCTTCCGTCATTCTCCTCTAGTAACCACTAGTTTGTTCTCTGTATCTATAAGTTTATTTCTGTTTTATTACATTTGTTCATTTAAAAAACAGAAATTTATTCTCTCAGGTTCCCGGAGGTGAAAAATTCCAAAACCAAACTGTCATTGGGGCCATGCTCCCTCTAAGGCCTCTAGGGCAGGACATGTACTTGTCTGTTTTCATGTCTGAAAGCCCCAGATGGTCCTTGGCTTTTGGTAGCATATCACCAATCTGTCTCCATCTTCACATGAACATTGTCCCTTTGTATCTCTGTCTTCACTGGTGCTCTCTCTGTGTCCTGTGAGCAAAATTCTCTCTCATAAGGACACTGGTTGTATTGGATTAAGGCTAACTCTAGTGACCTCATCTTAACTTACTTAAATTTGCAAAGTCCCAGACACAAATAAGATCACATTTGTAGGTGTTGAGTGGGTAGAACTTCAATTTATTTATTTATATTTTTTTTTGAGGGGACACAATGCAACTCATAACAGAGTCTAAGATTTTACTCCAGTGGGGCAGACAGACATTTATTCAAATCATCAGAGAGACAGATAGAGAATAACCAAGAGGACTTACAGAGGAGAGTGACAGGGTGCTCCAGCATCTCATACAATGAGGATTAGACCTGGTCTGGTTTCTGGGGCAAGTAGGCTTGGGCTGAGTAAGTATTAACTAGGGTCACAGGGGAAGGCAGAGCAATCAGCATATGTAGAAATACACCGAGAGAAGGATGTAAACACCAAAGAAACTAGTGGGATGGGAACAGAGAGAGCCAAGGGCTGAGATGAGGATGATCAGTGCTCAAGAGGTGAGCCATTATCAGACCATGCAGGGCCTGGAGATCAGTGCTGGGCATTTGTATCCTCATCCTAAGACGGGCAAGAAGCTGGTGAAGGGTTTAAGCTATGCTGGAGGTTGGGAGGCAATGATGCCTTAAGGGTGACCTCATCCGATTTGCATGTCATACCCATCACTCCATCTGGAGTGTGCACTAGAGTGGGGGTAATGCAGACTGGATGAGGGTACATTCAGTCACGTGGCAGGTGAGAGATTATGTAACTTACACCGGGGAGGCAGAGTTGGAGATCTGTAAAGAGGGAAGATTTCAAACAAAACGAAACAAAAAACCTTGAAGGATGAAACAAAATAGAAATTGGGGGTCAATTGGACATGAGGAGAACCTAGTTAAGGTTGGTGTGAAGGTTCCTGACCTGAGAAAGCTGATGAGGGAGGGAGCTCTGGAAGATGACCCAACTGGGGAGGGAAGATTATGAGAGGGGCTTCTTTTGAAGTGACATTAAGACATCCAACAAGAGACAGCAGGCAGGCCCTGTATATACAGGGCCTTGTTTGAGGCAGCTAACAATTTGTTCAGTAACTGAAATTTTGTACAGCCCTGAACCAATATATTGGGTGGAAGCCTGGTTTACCCTTCTCATGCCAAGGGGAGGATTCTGAGCCTCAGGGCTTCCAAAACAGATTTTAAAAACACAAGACAGATCATTCCCTTCTAGCTATAATAAGTGTAATTCTGGTGGCTACCATTGGACAATGTTTGGGAGAGTCTGCTAAGTGGTTAAAAGGCCCAATGAGTGGAATGTTTCAGACATGGCTAACTCAGGGGATGGAAAGTGAAAGTGAAAGTTGCTTAGTAATGTCCAACTCTTCTCGACCCCATGGACTGTAGCCCACCAGGCTCCTCTGTCCATGGGATTATCCAGTCAAGAATACTGGAGTGGGTTGCCATTCCCTTTTCCAGGGACTCTTCCTGACCCAGGAATCAAACCCATGTTGCCTACATTGCAGGCAGATTCTTTACTATCTGAGCCACCAGGGAAATGGCCCACAATTCAGCAATTTTTAATTTTTCCATGAAACATATTACTAAAAATAACAGGGTGAGTAATGAGTGATTCCTAGTTACTGTTTGTTTGTTTTTGTTTTGTATCACAGATCAAGATTAAAATACTTCTGGAGAAAGCAAGTGAAAGACCACTTCCTTTAACCGTACAAGCATCTTTTCAACATAATATAACTTTAGTTTTCTTTCTGCCTCCTGAAAACATCTGCTATCTCTCACCTATAAAATTTCTCAGCATTTTCCCTCAGCCTGGGAGGCCCTTGTAATTTAAGTATTAAAAACATTTGTTGCCCTTTTTCTTGTTGCTTAAATTCATCTAGGCTCATGGGCCAATGGCTTCCTTACTCAGCTGTTGTGCTCAGGATCTCGCTAATTAGCTAGCTCTCTCCTGCAAGAGTGCTCATTGCTTTTTCTTGGGGCTGATGTCACTCCCCGAGCTGGGAAGGACACTGTCTTTCATTTCTAGAGTCTCTTTCTTGCACCCCCATCTTGCTTTCATTATTCAGACTTTTCCTGAGACCGAAAGAGAAAAGCTGATAATGTATTTCTTTCTCTAAAAGCTGTCTCTAATCCTGACATAATTTCTTTCCAACTGGGAGAAAAGTTACCTTAGCAACTAAGCAACTAATTGACTCAATTAACTTTTCCCCTCCTCCTTTATCAATATTCAATTAACATTAAATCGCTTCTTTGCCATGCTCTGTAGTTTAATAACCTTCTAAGCAAATAGCTGAAGTGGACCATGGACTGCAAGTAGCTGGATGAAGAATGTCTCAGAGAGGATGAAATGTTTTGGAAGGAGAGTTATGGCAAACCTAGACAGCTTATTGAAAAGCAGAGACATCACTTTGCCAATGAAGGTCCATATAGTCAAAGCTATGGTTTTTTTAAGTAGTCATGTATGGATATGAGAGTTGGATCATAAAAAAGGCTGAGTGCTGAAGAATTGATGCTTTCGAACTGTGGTACTGGAGAGGACTCTTGAGAGTTCGTTGGACTGCAAGGAGATCCAACCAATTAATCCTAAAGGAAATCCACCCTGAATATTAATTCTAAGGACTAATGCTGAAGCTGAAGCTCCAATAGTTTGGTCACCGGATGTGAAGAGCTGACTCATTGGAAAACACCCTGATGCTGCGAAAGATTGAAGGCAAACGGAGAAGGGGGCAGCAGAGGATGAGACAATTAGATAGCATCACGGATTCAATGGACATGAATTTGAGCAAACTCCAGGAGATAGTGAAGGACAGAGGAGCCTGGTGTGCTGCAGTCCGTGGGGCCACAGTCAGCCATGACTTAGTGACCAGGCAACAGCAAAAGACTCAGAACCTGAAGCCATCTTCTTCATTCCCCACCATCGCTTGGTGTTGTTTTAAGACGCCTGGATGCAATTTAGATGAAGCTGTTGGGAATGGAGGGGGAAGGGACGAAACTCTGAAGTAACCAAGATTAATTTTCTAGCAGTCAGTAAAATGGGCCTCAGGACCAGAAACAGGTAGCCATAAGGAAAAACAGAGTTACGTGTTTCGAATTTTGAGTTTATGGACAAGATATTCATATTATTGTCAAAAGTAATAGAGGGCAATGAAGAAACACCTACCAAATTAAAAAAACAAAACAAAACCACTAACAGACACAACTGTAAGGCCAAGAAATAAAAAGTGGGACTTTCCCTAAAAGAATCAAAGGAAAAATGAGCTGGATACTAGCCTTATTCCTGTAAGCTGGTTTGGGAATCCGTATGCTTTTCTCACCTTCTCCAAATGCAGAAATAAGTTGCTAAATTGGAAATTCTCAATGCTACATCCATAACTGCATTTGCTTCTTTAACCTCATTATCACCTGCCCCAGACAGTTTCTCCAGCCTAAACATAGGCATATACTTCTTATGTACAGCATCCTTTCTGGGAATGAATGGGGATAAGAATAAATGCATTTATTCTGTTCTGTCAAATTAATCATTTAGGCAAAATGAGTGAATAGATACATAAAAATTGCAAAGTCATCTCAGTGACCCTTGTTGGGTTCTTACTACCTGTCATATTCCACGTACTCTGATGATCTCATTAAGAACACCCTAGGAAGTAGATGCTATTGCCCTCATCTTACAAATGAAGGAATCGAGGCTTAAAAGTGTATGTACCTGAGTTAATGCTACACACTGAGTCACTAAAGTTCTGGGATTTGGATCTAGATCAGTTGAATGCTAAAGATATTTATTCAGTTACTATCTATGCTGTCTGCATGATCAGGGGAGAGAAATTATTTCCCTAACTAAGCACATGCCTTCCAATGCCATGTCCAGGGACACTCTGACCTTGGCAAATGATCAGATGAATCTCATGCATCCAGAGGTACAAGTCACATGTGTGTAAAAGAACCTGATCCTACATTAACTTCCAATAGTGAGATTCATCTTTCTGTCCATTGTATGAAATAGCTGTGAATATACTGTTTGTTTATGAGCAGCAACCCTGGGACTCAGAGCTGCTGGATTTAGCAAATAAAGTGACAAGGTGGACATTTAAATTTCAGATAAACAACAAAAAATGCTTAGTGTGTATATATTCTTTGCAATATTTGGGATATACTTATATTTTTAAAAAATCATTATTTATCTGAAATTCAGATTTTACTGGGTGTCCTGCATTTTATCAGGCACTATAGGGACTAGGTTCTGTCACTCCAAAGCATGTGCTTACTTCTTCTTCGCTGTCTTGCCTAATAATGAGCCCTACTACTCTGGCGAAGACCAGAAAAAACATATCACATACACAGCTCTCCCAAATACACCTTGTGATCCTGAGCAATGCCCTGGAGGACAGCAATGTGGGGGTCTTGCCTTGGACTGATCTCTCCTAGCATCTCCTCTCTCCCACTTGGAGCTCCCTGGCCGGAGAGTTGCAGGTTGCCAACAATACTTGGTTTTCTTCCTCTTTCTCTCTTATCTGTACTTTTCTCCCTGACCCTAAACACGCCCATTACTGCCTTCACATTTGGTACCTGGTTATGCATGAGGCTGGGGTCAGTGTTTTGAACTGGAAAGACTCATGGAGATTGTTTCACAGTGAGGAAACTGAGGACCTCATAGACACATACACACACACACACATGCACACACACACACACACACACATTGTTTATTCAAAGTTGCACAGCTAGAAAGAGGCAGGACTGCTGTGGGAACTGATGGTCAGCCAGGAATTTTTCTGCTTTGGGTGACTGCTTTACCACACTGTGGGACAAGTTCTACTTCTCTGCTTATTTCCACAGCTACTCCCCTTCTCTGATGGTGATGATAGTAACAATTATGACAATAGTTGGTCTCTTCAGTCCTAAGCCTTTTATACATATTTTTTCATATAGTTCATATAACCGGTAAGTTAAATCCTGTGAGTTGCTAAGTTTGATCCACTAGATTTTCATGCTGCTAACTCTCATTTTTATTCTCTCCAAGAATACCTCAAGAACAACAGAGCCCATCTTGAAATAAGTTACAGTAATTTGCAGAGCGTTTGAGAAGTATGTATTTGTGCTTGTTAAGCCTGACAACTCTTTCAGCTTCTTGTTTCCAAGGAGTGGGTCGATACCGCAGTTGGGGAGGCAGCCTATCTAACTCTGGTACTGAGCCGACATGCACAGTCCTCAGAGGCTCCCTAGATTTCCCTCCTTTCATTTTCTGTTTATGCCAGCATGCTTTGCAACTTGTGTGTATTTATTTTCTTGCTTTGAAAAGTTGAAGATATTTGAGTGTGTATTGTTTTTAAGGAAGAATATAATGTAAACACTCAGGAATTTCTTTTAGGTTACATATTTGCAAATAATTTTGTTTGACATGATTAGTTTATAGAATATGGCTTCCCTTGTGGCTCAGACAGTAAAGAATTTGCCTATAAAGCAGGAGACCCAGGTTTGATCCCTGGGTCTTGAAGATCCCTTGGGGAAGGGAATGGCAATCCACTCCAGTATTCTTGCCTGGAGAAATCCATGGACAGAGGGGCCTGGCTACAGTCCATGGGGTCACAAAGAGTCAGACATGATTGAGTAACTAATACTTCCTTAATCACATGATTAATTTGGAAAGAACGTACAGGTTATTGGGCCGCATGGGAATATAATGATTACTACCATTTATTGAGTACTAACTATGGGCTAGACACCATGTAAGGCGTGTTACCTAGTCTAGCTTAGTTTCCAACAACTGTGGAAATGTAGCTGTTTTTATCCCAGTTTCACAACATAGAAAATATGAGTCTCTGAAGGGTTAAGGTATTTCCCCATGAGCACAGAGGAAGTGGAAAGGTTGAGTACTGGACTTGGAACAGTCCAACTTGAAAGTCAGTATGCTTTCCAAATACTGTTTAAAAAGCTGTGTAGTTTATGTTTGTGAAAATACTTTCTTTCCTCTTAGAGTTTCACAATGTCCATCAGCATGTTAAAGACTCTAAAAATTCCTGCAACAAAGAAGTCTATTTGACTTTTAAAAATTTATTTATTTATTTATTTTTGGCTGTGCTGGGTCTTTGTTGCTGAGTGGGCTTTTTGCTAGCTGTGGCAAGTGGGGGCCTCTCTTTAGTTGCGGTGTATGGACTTCTCATTGAGGTGGCTTCTCTTACTGTGAGCATGTGGGTTTCAGTGGTTGTGGCATTTGGGCTCTGTAGTTGCGGTGCATGGACTTAGTTGCTTAGTGGAATCTTCCTGGACCAGGGAGCAAACTCATGTCTCCTGTATTGGCAGGTAGATTCTTTACCACTGAGTCACCATGGAAGTCCTATTTGACTTTTCTGAAGCTCAGAGTTCGCATAGAACTTATTTGGTGAAAGAGGTTGTTGTTGTTGTTGTTGTTGTTTTAAAGGGTACATCTATTAACACTCTAGGGAACAAGTCTGGAATTACTTTACCCTGCCCATGGTAGGGGCCATTGGTATATCCAGGATTACAGAGGACTTAACACAATGCCATTTGAGGCTCAATTAATGACTTTAAGAGGAACTACTGCAATATAGAAAAGAAAATTAAGGAGCAGGAAAAATATGATAATATTTAGAAATATGTGAAATGCTGTCTTGTGAAAGACTAGATTGCATCAAAAAGTCCATGCATTCATGCATGCTTAGTTGCCTCAGTCATGTCTGACTCTCTGTGACTCCATGGACTGTAGCTGGGGAGGCTCCTCTGTCCATGAGATTCTCCAGGCAAGAATACTGAAGTGGGTTGCTATTCCTGGAGTGGGTTGCCCTCCTCCAGGGGATCTTCCCCATCCAGGGATCAAGC